CTCTCAGTTTCTTTGTTAAACTAGCCCCCAGTCTTCAGGTACCTCAGCCTGTAAAACAGCACTTCCCTACCTCACAGGGGTATTGTGAGGATAAGTGCATTACAATTTGTGAGATACCACAGTGCTGTGGGCTGTATAAGTATTTAAAATAAATAACCCAATAGCATTTTTAATCTCTAATGTGTGACTCTCTGAAAAAAAATAAAAATTTGTGGTGAACAAACAAAACAGATGCTGCTGTAGTATAACTAGGTATTTTAACCATTTGTGTCAGCGGAACTAAATTACAGGCTCAACAGAAAAGGATAAAGCAAACAAAAAGAAAATATTTAAACAAATGTAAGCTAGTCCCTCCTGGGGGTAAGAAGCTGAAAGCAATTGAGGAAGGATCCTTGGTAAAAGGCCAGAAAACGAAGGCCTATGAATGCAACTGGAAAACAACAGAAAAATGTGTAGCTCCCATCCATATGAATTGGAGAGGACGGGGGGGGGGGGGGGGGGGGGAAGAAACTAACTGCTGGCTAACTGTGATAAAAAGCCAAAAGGTGTCAAAAGTCAAAATAACTGACCATAGAAAAGAGAAACAATAACAATCTAGTGATTACACAATCAGATAACAAATATAAAGGACGTTTATGAGGACAGCTAGCAGGCCAGGAACAAGGAGCTTCCAGATGCAGATGTAGCTTTAATGTGTGAGTGAGTGTGCATGTGTGATGTATATGTGAGTGAGCGTGTGTGATGCATGTGTGTATGTGGGATACTGGACCTTCAAACTTTTTTTAAAAATGATGGAACATTATGTACTTAGTACATAAGCTACACCATTTTCTAATCTCTCTCATTTTGTTTTTTCTAAAACAGAAATTCTTCAAACCTGTCAAAGACAGGACTTGTCCTCATTGAAGACAAGTTTAAGACAAGCTTGAAGTTTACACAAAATATACATTTGTGACTGATCCAAACACCTCCTCAAATAAAATTGTGAAAAAGCCCCCCTCATTCCATCCCTTACTCAAAAGAGAATTTGATCAAACTTATTCCTGTATAGCTGTAAGCGCCTAAAATGTTAAAGGTCAAGGTGTTGCGGGGGGGAGTACATTTGGGGTTGAAACTTCTCGGGTTTATCTTTAGCAATTTTTATTGACCTTATGAAAGCAATTTCTCAAATATAAATATAGTATAGTATCCCAATACTGTCATATAGAAAAATTCTCTCCAATCCAAAGACTGTCCACTTTGGAGTTTAACACAGCCATCTGAACCAGTTTTCCACAGGATTTAAAACAAGTTCAAACTAAATTAGTTTAAACACAATTACTGAACCTGATTGTCAGAGCACCAACAACTCCTATGGACTTCAGCTGGAATTTTTGGAGCTTAAAACCTCTGGAGCAGCTTGGCTAGTCTGGCTGGCACAGTTTCTACATATGGGTCTTGTCTAAAAAGAAACGTGCAAACACAATGTGGACACTCCTTTTGTGTGTGTGTGTAAACCAGATTTATTTAAGTGTAGCTTAAATTGATTACAATATTTTGGCACCATTCATGCTGGCCAACCCAACCACATGTAAACTGGTTGAAATTTAATTGCTTTAAAACCATGTTTAAAACTAATTGAGGCAACATGATTCCCAGCCCAGTGTAGAGAGATGCTAAATGTGAGTATCTTATCAACATAGAGGAAGAGTCACCAAGTACCTCCAACATGATGCAGAGGAACTTCAAAGTAAAATTAGTAGGCAACAGATCCAAGGGAAAATATGAGTGAGGAAGACTTTCTAAACAAAATCTAAATTAAGAAAAGAGACAGGCAGGTAAGAAGTGCTTTAGAACAAGGGTTCCCAAACCGTGGGCCGCGGCCCACAGTCCCAGATGGTCCGCTGACGCAACTGCATTCTCCAGACAAGCTTTTAGTAAATCTTTAACTCCACGTGACTCCTGTGATGTAAGTAAAAGCTATATAAATATAATGTCCTGAGCTGCATATGTTGGACAGAGTATAGAAGAAACTTCATTTTATTTATTTATTAAAAAGCAAGTGCAATATATCAAGATTAATTCTCGCAAGTACAACAGTGCGTTTCACTGCAAGGTAACCTAGCAACATACACACAGTCAGCCATTTACAACTGTAAAAAACAGCAAGCAGTATTTCAGTCTGACATGGATGGATTTATTTTTCGAAAACGAGAAGGGTGCACTGGTGGAGAAGATAATGAAAGTCCTGGCCCATCTACAGCTACATGAAATGAGGAGCCAAAAAAATAAAGTGGTAAGAAAATATGATGACACATACTTGAAGTTTGGATTCTCCTTTACCAGATCAGATGAGTACCCGTTGCCTCAGTGTGTGATAATATAACTGTTTGTTTTATATTATTAGTGACAATATTTCATTCTTTTCTAACTAGTAGAGAGTAGGTTTGGGTCTTTAGTTACACAGCACAGAAATTCAGATTGTTACACTAAAATAATGGAAAACACAACGTAGTGTTCAAAGCTGGACAACTATTTTGTTTCAAAATGAACAAACAACGCAATGTGTTTTTTAACAATTTTGTTAACATTGTTGTGTCGCTTATTGTTCAGTTTTACGTATTGTGTTTTCCCTGTTTGAATGCCACATTTTGCTCTCAACATTATTTTAAAGTGTAGTTTTATTAAAATTGTCTGGTTTCAAAGATCTTGAAGCATTTCTTTGAGTGCATATTGCTAGGGTTTTCCATCATTACAATTGTTTACGTTAAAAGGAAAAGGAAACATGTACATTGTTTGTTTATAGTTTATATGTATGTAATAATTTTCCTCAAGAAGTGTTAATAGTGGGCCACAGTGCCTATTGCAGCTGTACAGATGGGCCTCAGGGAAAAAACTTTGGGAACCCCTGCCTTAGAAAACAAACTGGAGAAAGGACAGAGGGAAAGGAATAAAAGAGCAGCAATTAACAACGTTTAAAAAAAGATTTCTCTGTAAACTGTAAATAAATATAAAGTACACTAAATAAGAAAAGCTGCTTTAAGAATTAGAGGCTGTTATTCAGTACGTCACGTCCACATGCCATAGCATGTCCACTGTGAATAAAATGTGAAGCAACTCGAATGTCAGTTAAATCCACTGAGCAAAGACAATAGGGGATAGGTATGTAGATAGAGACCAAACAGGGCTATCCTATGCAGGAGGTTAACACCCAGAGTGGGATGGAGATGGAAAAGTAAGTTGTCATCTAGGTAGACTCGAACCTCGGGAAAGAGGTGAACCATTTAGTCTCAATAGCTGCATTAGATATGCCATCGTCAACCAAAAAGAGAAGGATGAGACTTGGAGAGCCAAAGAGAGATCTGTAGCCCCTACAGTCAAGAGGCAAGTACTGAAAGGGACCCACCAGAAAGAAATAGGCAGGTAATCTGCACTGCTGACTCCTCAGTTAGGAGCCTGGCCCAAGACACCTTTGGGCAGATAAAGAACACAAGATGGTAATCTGCTTCCCAACCCAAGTACCTGGGCAAAGGAGGCCACAACAAGGCTATCCTGTTGACTGTTAGGGAATTTCCACTGACTATAGCCCCAATATGATCAAAGCCCCAGTGACGTGCAAGTACTCAGACATATACTTGGCTTAATGCACATGAGAAGCCCCTTTGCTTTCATTAGGACTCAGGGTATTTCTATCCAGCAACTAGATGCCCGTGGTTGGCAAGTGCCAGCCAACTCAGGCACGTGGGACTCAGGTTGCAGGGCTGTTTCATTGCTGTATAGATTGCTGTGCAGGGCTGTTTTTCATTTCATTGCTGTGCAGGGCTGTTTCATTGCTGGGCTCGGGCTGGAGCCCGGGCTCTAGGAGCCTGTGGGATGGGAGGGTCCCAGAGCTCAAGCTCCATCCCGAGCCTGGAAGTCTACCTGGCAATGAAACAGCCCCACAGCCAGGAGTGCTGGAATGGGGGGGCCTGGATGCCTTGCCCCCATCACTTTTAAACATGGGAAGGCTATGGGCTCCCACTTTTTACGAGCCGTAAGGGGGAGAGGAGCAAGCATCAGGGCGGAGTCTTGGGGGGGAAAGGCGGCATGAGGGCAGGGCCTCAGGGAACTGGGGGAGTGGGGAGGGCTCAGAGGGAAGAGACATTGCACGGCGTGGGGCCACGGTTCAGGCACCCCCACACACACACACTTTTCGGGAGCTTCTGACACTTCTGCCCACAGCCCAAGCCCAAGTCAGCTGGCACAGGCCAGCTGCAGGTTTTCCTTTGCTGTGTAGACATATCCTGACTTAAATTTCAGCATCTGTGTAAGTCGTTTCAGAACTGTGGCTGTGATGAGCATAATAGAAACTCTTAAAAATAATGTGACATAGCAACTGAAAAGCCTAATTCAGCTGCATAGCAAAGCAGCATCTAATGGAACAGTGCCTCTCTATTTGACTGTGGTGTAATTGTGGTGTAATTGCCCCTGGAATATTTCATTTAGTTCTGGTACAGTTACATTTGTAATACAGAGAGACCCTGTCAAGGTTCCTTCCCCACTCTGAACGCTAGGGTACAGATGTGGGGACCTGCATGAAAACCTCCTAAACTTACTTTTACCAGCTTAGGCTAAAACTTCCCCAAGGTACAAACTATTTTACCCTTTGCCCTTGGACTTTCACTGCCACCACCAAATGTCTAACCAGTATTATTATTATTATTATTATTAGGAAAGAGCCTGTTTGGAAACATCTTTCCCCCCAAAATCCTCCCTTACCTTTACGCCCCCTTTCCTGGGGAAGGCTTGATAAAAATCCTCACCAATTTGCATAAGTGACCACAGACCCAAACCCTTGGATCTTAAGAACAATGGAAAAGCATTCCGTTTCTTAAAAGAAGAATTTTAATAGAAGAAAAAGTAAAAAGAATCACCTCTGTAAAATCAGGATGGTAAATACCTTAGAGGGTAATTAGATTCAAAACATAGAGAATCCCTCTAGGCAAAACCTGAAGTTACAAAAAGACACAAAAACAGGAATATCCATTCCATTCAGCACAGTTTATTTTCTCAGCCATTTAAAGAAATCATAAATCTAACACATATCTAGCTAGATTACTTACTAAGTTCTAAGACTCCATTCCTGTTCTGTCCCCGACAAAAGCATCACACAGACAGACAGAGAGGCTTTGTTTTTCCCTCCCCCCAGCTTTTGAAAGTATCTTGTCTCCTCATTGGTCATTTTGGTCAGGTGCCAGCGAGGTTATCCTAGCTTCTTAACCCTTTACAGGTGAAAGGGTTTTTCCTCTGCCCACAGGAGGGATTTTAAAGGTTTTTACCCTTCCCTTTATATTTATGACAGACCCTAAAACACATTTTGATTAAAAACTGATTAACACAGGTTGACCCCATTGATGATAGCTGGGCAGTTATAGTTCAGGCCCATCTGTAGCTATAAGATTAGGCCACCATTGAATTTGACAGACATTGTCAAACTTGGTAGTTTTCTAACAGAAACAGGGCCAAAAATAATTAGGGAGCTGGAGGAGGAAACCTAATTTGGTCCTAAAAACCAGCCAAAGTGGGGACTGGAAACCATCTATAAATATTGGAAGGGTGTGAGGAGGTGTATGCCTAGGGTGGTAAAAGGGAGAGTAGTTAGAAGTAAAGACTTCCTGACAGTCTGGCCCAGATTTGTAAAGGTATTTAGGCGTAAGAGCCTAAATATCATGTTCAAAAGGTATTTAGGTACTTAGGAGTCTAAATGCCATTGTAGATGGCATTTAGACTCCTAAGCACCTAAATCCCTTTTGAACATGATATTTAGGCTTCTCACTCAGTTTGATGTTGTGGTGCTGAGCACAGCAGTGCCTAAATAGCTTTTAATAATCTGAGCCTAAAACAGGTTGGGGAATAATCTCCCTCAGGAAGTGATGAAAACCTCATCAGCAGAATATTTAATAAGTGACTGGACAAAGCACTAGTAAATGCTGGGAAACAATCCTGCATTAGCAGGGAGTTGAGCTGGTTGCTCTACTAGGTATTTCTATGATTCCAAGTAGATCTGTCCACTTCCAGATTTTGGGAAGTTTGAATACAGCTCTGATCTGAGATCTATGCTTCCTGGCTTGGCTCCGTTTCTAAGTCTATGGTTAGAAACAGATAGTGAATGTTTTCTGTAAAATGCAATTATAATACTTTTTGAATGAAGCCAGCATAACCAGAGTAAAATATTATAGGTAAACTGAATAGTCTACAATAGAGTAAACTGAAAGCGAACACACTTCCGAGGTGTTTCTTTGTAGAATCTTCCCATTCTGTTACCCTTTCTCACCCGCTGAATGACAGGGTTTTTTGTAATTTTTAAATGAAACAATCATCACTGTTATCTTGTGGTGTTCTCTTAATCACAAACTAAATCAGGCCTTTGAAATCTCTTGCTGTAAGCCTCTGTGCTTGGTGCGAACAGTTGATTCCTACACATGGATCTGGCCCCTTGAACTATAACAAGGACAATGTGGTTTAATAGCCAGAGTTAAAACTGCAAACCTTGCCTGCCCGGATGGCTTAGTGGCTATGGAGGAGGCAACATTGCTTCCATGCGGGAGGCCCAGGGCTTGGGAGCCGGCTCCTGGGGCTGGGGGCCCCTCAGAGGGAACACTACTCTGCTCAGAGGAAAGTGCAGCTTTCACCGCCTGCCCCCCTCCCTCTCGCAGCTGCTGCCTTGGGGAACTGGCCTTGCAGCCTTGGTGCAGGAGGCCGCCTTTCCTTCCAAGCCACAAGGGTGACTGCAGCTGCGTGTGCTCAAGTAAGTAGGGAGGAATGAAAGGGGGTGGGGTTCTGTACAATTAGTCCGCCCCGTAGGGAAAAATGCTGCTGAAATCCTTGTGTCCCCAGGCTAGGACTGGCCCTGTGTTCTGGGACGATGAGGCGCGCATGGTGTACACTCTGCTCTCTTGCAGGGAAGGATGAGGGAGAAACCTCAGCTTGGACAACTCTCCTGCAAAGAAAAGAAAATAATTAACAAGCAGGCTTTTAACTGATCTTTAGAATAGCATACGCTTTTTTTTAGCAGCCACAATTTCTTGAAAAATTCTCCTAAGGGGACTCAGATATAGATAGGCACACACACATACACCCTGATACATAGGCATACGCACGCTCACAAGTACACAGACTGAGACACACACAGGTACAGAAGTTGGCCAAATAAAGAATATTACCTCGGCTACTTTGTCTCTCTCATTTCCTGGGACCAACAGAGCTACATCCACACTGCCAACACACCTCCAGAAACATATACACAGTGTCACCCTCAGGACACACCCCCTCAGACACTGGCTCTCACATACACACAATTCCAGGATTGGGTTGAAAGGAGCTACTCAGAGATCAGTCATTTGTGCACCACCCATAATGCAGCGCACTGGGGGAAAAGCGAGTGAAAAAAAATTTTTTTTTTTTTGCAGCCCTTTTCCTTCCAGGAGGATAGTTTGCAGATGGGAAAGACAGAGGTTGAAATAGCTTCGCAGCTCCATTTAATAAAGTCAGTAGGCAAGGATGCAAAAGCCTGTGATCATGTACCCACAGATGCTGGAGAAAGCGACACACTGGACTGAAATTGCGCCTTCTCGTCAAGGCGCGGGGCGGGCTGGGGAGACATTGGTGAGCGCTTCCTCCGGGCGGGTGCTCCTGGCGCAGACCCCTGGCAGGGTTGCCTGGAGCCCCGCTCCTTTGGTAGCGCGTCTCCTCTTTCACACGCGGACACATGCCCTTTCTCTCTCCCCTGGCTCTGCTCTCCAGGTGGCGACCAATTCCCAGCCCGCCCGCCGCGGGGTGAGACGTGTCCCCGGCGCTGGCTACACGCGACGCTCGCCTCTGGCTTCAGCCCCGGTGCCGCTGCCTGACTCGCCTTCACTTTTCACCTCGGGGCTGCGTCCCGGGGCGGCAGACAGCACAGGCGGCCGGTACCTGCCGGAGGGACTCGCGCTCATTCGCACGTTTTCCACGCGGCCCTAGTCCCATTAGCACACCTGACACAACAGCGCCGGCGACGCGGGGCCTCTCGCTGCGGCCGCGGCGCGGGCTGCCGCTGAGAGCGGGCTGCGGGCTGGTTTTCATGGCGAGGAGACGGAGGCAGCCGGGGCAGAGGCGGGCCAGGGGCCCGCACGTGCCTGGCCCCGAGCTCTAGGTGCCGTTCGGACACGCTGGGCCGGGGAAGCGGTCGCAAAGCGGGGCCGTTCCGCTCCGGGCGGACGGTGTCAGGAGCGTCTCTGTTGGCTTGTTGTGCGAACGGGAACAAAGCCCAGCGAGTGACCAGTGAGAGGGCATAGAAACACACTGCCCGCCCCCGCGGCGTCCCGCCGGCCCCACCGCCAGCCTGCGGGCTCTGGAGCAATCCGGAGTCAGGATGGAAGTTCTCCTCCTTTGGCGGCTGGAGTGACCCCGCGTGCTGCTTGCAAGCGATCAGGAGTAAGGGCGGAGTAAAGCTGTCTGGGGTAGCTCTTCATAAAACCTGGGGGGGGGGGGGGTTGTATCCACCCAGCAGCGATAGTTCTCACTTAACCCCCCCACACACACACACATCACAGGACAGAGAGGACCCGAGCTGGGGTGTGCTATGGAAAGCGAGGGTCTGTGTAACACACAAACACGCTCACACACATCGGCCGTTGAAGGCAAGAGCCCCGTTAGCCTGCTCAGCGGCGTCAGGCCTTTGAGCTAGGGAGAGGGGAGCCCGAAAGAGACACCCCTCTCCCTCCTCCAATTCACCCTGCTGGAGAGAGACAAACCGGGAAGCTCGAACCAGAAGAGGATGGTTTAAAAACAAACGAACAGCCAAGGGCGGAGCGGGAAGGCTTCTCCTTGGGGCAGCAGGGTTTGCCTGCGTTTAGCCAGGCGTCAGACGGTGCAGCGCCGTAGCGAAACCTAGCAGGAGAGAGGAGTGGGGGGGATTTGCCTCTGAATTGGTCACCAGGAAAGCCATCCTGCGTGAAGTTCGAGCTGCTCTGTAATGTTGGTCCATGTCCGGAGTCATTCGTTTTAGATGGGCACAATAGCTAGCGTCTGTATGTACTTATCTGGTACGTTGTAACCCCCTTAAGGTAGCATTTATCCAAACCAACCACTGTAGAAAGTGATCTCTCAGATAATTCTTCTAGGTCCCCGCAGGTAAAACTAGTTATTTGGAGTAGTTTGGGGTTGTTGGTTTTTAGTTTCAAACAAGACCAAGTATTCACAAAACATTGCTTGATTCGTACAATATGTTAATACATAGCTGAATATCTTAACGATTTTTTTTGTTATTTATGCTTGAGTTTACCTATATGTATGATTTGCAGAATCCCTATGCACTAATGAAAACTAAACATGCAACATCCAAAAAGCCTACATTTCATATTTCTTCCTAAAGTTTAACTGCTCGCAATTCCTGATTTAGTTATTTAATTGCATTTTTCATCAGTATTATAGGTAATCTGAAATATGTCTGAACTGTATTCGCTAGACAAGCTGAATACCATGAGTTAATATGAAAGAAATTATATGTTAAATTTGTCTCTAAGCAAACACAGCATTTAAGGGTCTAACAAAATACACTGATTTTACTATAGTACAACTGAGATTATGAAATACCAGTTTTCCATGGCTGGTGGCTTCAAAATTGTGTTTATTTGTTAATGGATAATTTGAATGAGGCTTGTAGTAGTTCACAAATACTTTCATATTGATGTACAAGGATGGACATACTGTGCTAAGCGTTCAATATGCGCACAGGGTAATTGCATTTCTATTTTGTCTAGTGTAAAAAAAACCTTGCATCGCTAATAAAGTTCAAATCTGTATGAAAAGCTTTTCTTTGAGTGACAGCACTATGTGAGCAGACGAATTCAGAATAACAACTTTTCACAGTGATAGTGGGAAACGATTACCTTCCACTTCTGCAAGTGACTGCAAAGCAAGATATCTATAGTTCTTGGTCTAATGCAAGTGGTTAAAGGTTTCCTTACAGCTCTGTTTAGCATATTTTAAGGTCTCTACAGTGTGTGTGTGTGTGTGTATATACAAACACACACATATACATGCATAAATAAAAATTGCTTATTTAACCAGATTTATGGTCATAATGTTCTAAAACTCACTTTGACTCCGAATTTTTATCTAAACGTACACTATTTTATTAAATGCAATAAGGATTTTAATTTCAATAAATCTTTGTACTAAGCATTTCCAAATCCATCTGCAAAAGTCTGTGTAGCTTTTGCAACATCTCCTTTGCTTGACTTTTTAAAACAGCTTCCTATATAGGCTAAAGAACAGAGAACCAAAAGTGTATACTGCAAGTTTAAGAGGAAATTATCCAACTTCTGCTGCATGTATCTCAGAGCATCCGACAGGGAGTCCCGCAGCACTTTTACAGGCAGCTGATTACGAAATGAAAGCAGTAACGCGCATGGTTTTTATCCCTTGCAATCACATAAGAAATAATGCACTACTCACCTAAACGTCCATATCTCCCTCCCCCCACAAACAATTTTAATTATTTTTAAATGTAATTTGCTCTCCGTTGGTACTAATCTGTGGCGCTCAGTGTTGCTTAGAAGTGAAAGAATTTCTTTTACATTGGGATAAGCTACAGCACTTTAATTCATAATAATTCTAAAACTGAAGGATTTACCAATATTTATCCTCATTTTTTCTATCACTCACCTTTATCTAAATGTTTAAGACCGTCTCACACATATAAACTCAAACCGTCTTTCTGGGGTCACCCTTAATGCAATTGATTGAGTGTAGTTCATGAAACAATAAAATCTTCAGCCGTTAAACCTGGAGTATAAAAGTTTTTTATATAGAAATATGTAACTTAATCTATAGATCTCGCATTCGGGTCCACTTTTCTTTCCTTCATCTTCAATTTTGACGCCACGCCCCTCCAAACAGGCACACCATCCTCTCCGTAAATGTACTTTTATCCAAAAGAAAGTTTAAGTAAATTATGGCTGTAGTTTTTTCATTGTCCAGTAGACGGCACAAAAGCTCAAGTCTTCAAATGCAAAACAATCGACCAGATTATTTTTAATTAAGCAACCAGAGTTTTTTTTTACCCAGCGATTTTTGTATTAAGCGAGAAGTATAGCAACATAAACGACAAAGCAACGAGTCTTTGAAATAGAGTTATAGTAAAAAAAAGTTAGGCAGCTAAACAAAATACTACTACTAATAACTCAAATAAGAAATAACTGATCATCCAAAACATAATTGTGGACTTCTTACAGGTTGCAATTTAAAATACACCAGATTGATTTGTAGCTACTTAACATTAACTATCGTTTGATCCTGTGCAAATATAATATTGTGAAGTGGATCTTTTTACTTTTCACAAATGCAAATTTTGTGACTTCAGTCTTTCATTCTATCACGTTGAATTGTCATGTGAATGTTAAAATACTAACGTACGGTATAGCATAGGCTAAAACAGATCAGACCTTACTCCTAATGCTCTTTGGAATCCGTCACTACAGACGAGTTTTATAAAAAAGGCATGCTTACCTCTAGATCTGAGGGCGACTTTTCCGAGATCTAAAACCCTTTGTAATTGGACACATTTTTGGTTCTGAAAGGTTCCCACGTTGCTGTCACTCTACATTCACTACTTATGCAGAAGTTTAAGTGACAAAAGCCAAGGCTAGTAACTCATTTCTCAGTTAATTTATTAAAAATTTACAACAGTGTTTAGAAAGTTTTACGTCAACCGTAAATTTTATTATGAATATTTTATTAAGCCCGCCATTTAATTAATAAAAGACCTCTATAATTTCTGAAAGTGTCAGAACTGGTAATTATGTTAAATAGTGTAGTGCCCCCCTCCTTCATTTTACTCCTCCCCTCAAGTTCCATGCTACTCTAAAGAGCTGAAATAGAAAAGTCTAATGAAATCAGTTCTTTCCTTCGCAAAGTGCATTTCTACCATTATTCATTCAGACTGTTTACTGAATACAGTGACTTGACTATTTTGTCTCTGACTGTTGGATAGCACAAGCTGACCTCTGGTTGACTCCTAACTGGACCAGGCGTTCTTTGTTTTCTGAAGCAGAATCCAGTAAACAAACCTCCATGAACCACAGTTTTACTTGCACATGGGCACTTGATTCACATCTTCACTTAATCCCCTCCAGTTAACCTCCTTTTATTATCACCTTTTCAGATTTTGCCCTTTAATAGATCTTTAAATAGTTCTTCACCTTTCTCACAGCCATTCATTAGGCTTTGACTTTTTGGTATCTTGACTCATATCACTTGAAACTCTTATCTGCCACATTCCTTTATTATCTCTCTACTGCATTTAAAATCTGTTTTCTTCGGGGATTTTGACCTTATTTGAATTTTTAAATGTAAATATTAATGGAGAAGGAGTATGTATTGTTGTTGATTTTTTCCCAACTGCAAGCCCCTTCCCGTCAAACTATAAAAAGTCATCAGAAAACTAGTACTCATTTTAATGCTATTAGGTAAAATTAATTATGTACTTAAGCTAGGAAATGCAGACTGATTTAAAGTCTTATTTATTATATGATAAGCAAATATATACAAATTCCACTTAATGGAGGACTTTCTTCATCATTTTCCTCTGAATCATCATCTGAACTTTGAGACCTCTCCTTCTACCTCATGTGAAAGGCCTTCGCTTATACAAGTTCAAATTGCAAATTCTGAGGTGAAGAATAAGTAAAATGATTATCGCCGTGGCATCACAGAAGTAGTGAAGACAAAGCTCCAAAGCAAAACACGTCTTCTTAAATGCTAAATCTGTTAAACACAGTTACAAGGAAAAAGCGAAAGTCAAGATCTACATCCAGGAGGCAATTCTGCCTATTTTCTGTCTAATTGCACATTTCGCTGTAAAATTCGAGGGACGCCCACAGCTTCTTTTCCATAGTACAATGGCAAGTGTAAATGGGTTCCCGCAACAAATAGCAATCAGACCCCTAGTTTTGGCAAAAAATAGCTACATTTCCTAAAAAGGCAGTAGTTGGGAATGTGTGCGTCGCTGTAGTCACAGAACACATAAATGTCGTTGGTAGTTTACTAAGATAGTGTGGAACTGTCCGTTTACTTTTCCCTTTTAATAGATGATTAATTGCTGCCTGGTTAGTCTTTTTATGGCCAGTAGATTGCAACTCGAGACGTCCTCAGTGCAATTTCTCGCAGCAAGCCCCAACAGTAATAACTGTTTGCTAATTGTAAAATCCTTATCCAGAATGAGGTTTGGGCAAACAATTTGTACTACTGTAATTACATTGTAAAAGTGTTCTAGCCCCGATTGTTCTGAATTATTCTCATAAAGGCCTGGTAGTGACGCTGGATTTAAGATTTAAAGCTTTTTTATTTTTGAGAGGCATTGCATTTCTGGAATTTAAACTGTATCCTCCTTTGGAAGGAACCTGCAAGACAGGGAATCGCTTCTGAATTCAGTCTCTGAGTTAAATAAATATAGAAATCAAACATACGTCTGTTAAGAGCACAACAAATACTTCCCAATACTGAGAAGAGGAAGGGTTAGGGTATTAAAATAGTCTTACCTGAAAAGTCTTTATATTCATCGCTGGCAAAGAAGGTTTGTCCTACAGCAAAGGGGGGGAAATCGAAACTGGTTTTCTTGAGGTTTGAAATGTCACGGGAAGAGATGGACTAAAGAGTATCTGCACGCTTCAAATTGTTCTGATCTGTCTCCTCCATGGTCCCTCAAAGCTGTTAAAAAGCAGCTTTACCCAAGTGCATTTCACAGTAATTTCTATTTTGTAGATTTTACTCGGATAACCCGCCCCATGCAGCTCATTTAAGGATCGTTGAGCCCTATGTGTGAATATTTTAATGTTTGATTTGGCACTTTTTTCCCACCCTACTGAACTGATCTGATCGATGACAGATCTTTCCTTTCTGAGACAAATTTGAAACACCTAGCCGGCGGATCATTTGAATAATCACACAGGTAGAATATGAAACAACTGCACTCTCCTGCAGAGAAAAGAAACGGTTTAGGGAATACTAGAGCTCTCTCAATAGCAATCCCTATAAAAATACTGTTTTATTTTGCGTCGTCGCTGCAATTACTGCTTCAGAAAAGTTCTTGGTTTTGGTTTGTTTTTTAAAGTGAGTTTAAATCTGTTTTGCCCCCTAAAATATACTTTAAGAGAAGATTTAGATCGCAGGCAGGGATTATGTTGATGCTGGGAATTCCGTCTGTTAACATTACATTTCAGACTTTGGCCTGGCAGAAATCGTATGTGATTTATCTCTGTTTAAGACTTACTGCCTGAGCATCCCAAAAGCAAACATAAAATTGCCATAATAATAAATCATAAGCATAGAGTTCTTTTTTTTAATCGAGAAATTGAAAGAAATCAGACTATTTCCTGGTAAACACTAACGAGAAGACCACTTCTTAGTGATCGTTCTTACTATTTCAGGTTCTGCTGTTAAGTCAAAAATTGCAGCTGGAATGCCGCAGGAAAAAGTGATCGTCCTTACCCCAAACAATCAAAAGTACGGTCATTACATGACGTGTATGGACCACTGCATGCAAGGAACACTGCTGAAGATGCCTCGGGTTCACAAACGTGTGTGTTGTAAACAGTAAACGCTGGCACTGAATGCTTTGCTGTGTCAGTATAAGCTGTCAGCCTGCTGAGTTCACATATCAAGCTCCGTAACATCGTGTTGACATAAATATGTCGTACCTTAACTTTTTAAAAGTACTTTTCTTTGCCTCTCTCTCTCTCTCTCTCTCTCCCTGTATATATAGAGAGAGAAAGAGAGAGAGTGAAGGGTGTCTTTTATTCCCCTTGCAGGGTATGTTTATGTCTGCCCCTAGGCAGCAGCTTGTACTATGGCTAAGCAGAACAAGTGAGCAATCTTTCTGCTTTGGAGAACTTAGCCTCTCTGTTCCGAGGGAGAGTTTTTTGGCACTCCCCGCAGATCGAAGCTCCCTGCTGATCGATTATTTGATAATTGATTTTCCCCTCCACCAATGCACGGCTGGCTTTCGAAGACAAGCTCCTGATTGGCCTGCGGCTCCTCCACTGCTGCCTACTGAGATTTGGGTGAGCTCATTTTCCAACATACCGCAGGGGGAGTTTTCTGAGAGGCTTGGGGGAGGGGGAAGAGAGAGAGCGAGAGCGAGAGAGAGAGAGAGAGGGGGAAAAAAAAAAAACCCGTCTCACGGATCTCTGCTCTGAAAGATGTTGCATATTTGAATCAACTACTGTCTGTGTGGAACATCTGCTCAGAGTTACATGGGCACCGAATAAATTCTAGCAAATGAGCCCGGCTCATCCGAAGTGCGTTTTGGTGCTTTCGTTCTAAACCTCAACTTCGCTCTAATAGATTTACTTTCGTTGCGGGGAGTTAGCTGCGGGGGGGGGGGGGGGGGGGGAAGACTGCTTGCTCTGGATACAAAAAAGGATGAAAGTCCTCCGGTGGGGGGGAGGGAGGGGAGGAAAGAGATTGCTGATCCTTTAGAGCGCTGCCGTATAGCGAGGGTGTAAATACAAAGTAACCATTGCTATTAGACAAAGGAAATGGCCATTACACTCCGAGACGGCTAGGCAGAAGTGGCGTGGATTGCTGCGTATGACACGAGCTGAGCGCGCGAGAGAACATATAACAGACAGCTCTCCTGCGTTCTGTCTTCCTGCCCTTGATCTTGCCAATCACTTCGGTAATAGTATTCGCAATAAAAACAAGCCAGTGTCCAGAAGCAGACGCTCTGGGTCATCTCCTAGTTTTGCTCTCACACTTAGAAACGCTGGAATACTGGATGTGCTTGCAGGGCTCTGGGAAGAAGGATGGATGTTGTCTCTTTAACCATTGCTCCTCTCTTCTTCACATAACTCATGTGAGCGAGCTCAGATCTTTGGCAAAGGCTGCAAACAATTACCCAAAGCATTCGGTGTGAAAAGGGGACAGAAACAAATCCTGCCCCCTACAAAACAAACAAACAAACAAACAAACAAACAAACAAAAAACACCCAACCCTGCGATACCCCATAATTTGGCCGGCAGCAATGAACTCTGCTTACAGGGAGCTCTTAAAATAGCTAAGAGCCCAGCCACACACCAGAATTACAATCTATTTTAGTAACTGTAACCCTGTGTGTGTGTGTGTGTTGTTAATTGAACGCTTCTGTGGCTCGCACAGCCTCTTTGCTTGCATCTCACCCAACCCACCCCTGCGCTAGGAGCCGAGTTGATGCAGCCCAGTGCATTGTGTAAGACGCGACCTGTTATGGCCACCACTACTTCCGGGTTCCAGCATTCTGGTCCAAATCCACCTCTCCGCCTGTGCAACACACACTTTACACACGCACGGGGGACTTGCAGCAGGCAGCATCGATCGTGGCTCCTTTAAGACAAACTCAGACAGACATTTTTAACCCTCTTCCTCTAGCCTCTCCCGCTGCAAAGGGGGAAAGGGAGCGCGCGAGCGAGATCTGATTAGGAATTAGGACTGATTCAAGAACAAGCCAGCGCTTAGACCTCCATGCATTTGAATATTAACATTTGAGGTGTCCAGAGCAGTGGAAGTACACACAGCGGATCATCATCATTCATTCACCACCTTGACAACCTCGCCTTTGATTGACAGCTGGAGTGGCAAAAAGCCATGAGACTTGGTAGTTGGGTTTGAGGGGCACTTTTTTTTTTAAACCAAAAAAAAAAAAACTGATTGGGGAAAGGATATTTGCTTTCTCCCCGCTGCTGTCTTGGAAACGAAAGGGGGAGAGTGAGAGAGAGAAAGAAAGAGAAGGAGGGCGAGTCTTTCTCTCTCTCTTTTTTTTTTTAATGCTGAATTATTGTGTCGTTTCTTTGAGATCCAGTAAGCTGAAGATTTTCCTCGATTGCTCACATTGCTGGCGACTCTAAGGGATTTTTGCATTTTTGGGGGTTTGGGGGAGAGTTCGCGTTTGTTTCTTTTCACACTGGCCTTAAAGAGGATATATTAGAAGTTGAAGTAGGAAGGGAGCAAGCCAGGCCGATGGCGCAAAGGGTACGTATTAAAAAAATGGAATTTAAATGTGAAATAATGTTGAAACGTGGCTGACAGAGACGCTGCGAAAAAGTTTTTTCCCACCTCTTCTTTGACTCAAACCTATATATATATATTGTCAATTTCTTGATTCTATCAATTCCTATCACAGACACCTCACGGAAGAGGCAAACTTTCTATAAAATAATGATATACAGGCATGTAACTGAAAATACAAGTGTTTGTATTTATCAGTATTACAGCTATACTGCTAAGAATACAATGTCGTTTTAAAGTCACCAGCGTTTAAAATATTTAACTAAGGTGTCTTTGAACATTTTAATTTAGCATTTAACATTAGTGATGACATACATCTTCACTTTTCAAAGATAACTTATTAAACTTTAAGTAAACATAACTTTTTGCCATCACAAATGTGCAGTGCTGTAGTCAGACCTTCATTTAAAAATAGTTGCATATTTAAATTTGAATTAGGCAGAAGTAATATGCACATATATTTATCATTACTATTTATTACTATTTTTTACTATTATTCTTTTTTCTAGACTTATTAGATACATTGAGATGCGATGAAAATATTGTGAGGGACAATTATCATGTAATGAATAGAGTTTTTAAAAGAAAAACGACATAAAATTAAGTTTGCTTGCAATAATTTGTGTCCTGTCCCTCAAAGTACAGTTTGTAAAAGAAAGTTGCTGTACTGACAAACTTGCCTTTACTCTTTCAGTTCAAGCAATTGTCAGAGTTTTTTAAAACAATTTATTCACACTTTTGCTTTTAATAGATGAAAAGTGGCCGTTTCCTCTTATCCTTAAGTGCCACTTTAACTTTCGGTTTTTAATGTTTAACAAAGAATATACTTAAAATTCAAAACTTTCAGTAGCACATGCACACATCTGCAGCAAATCGACAATAAAGTAGATTGTACATAATAGCTGTAAACCAAAAATCGACTCTTTTGTTATTAAACTTTGGACAACATCAGATCATTGATACTTGTGTACTTTCCTTCTTAACAGTCGGAAGGTTTAAAACAGGGTATCTTAAAATTAACTAACTGCTTTAACTCACGTTTTTCCTCCACATGGGAATTCCCAATTTTCAGATTGTGCTGCAATAGTTAGAAAAAGTGTATCAGCTTTGGTCTTGCATCTAAACTGGTGCTTTACATTTTTGTTAAAGAGAGTTTAATTTATCATTTAAACGTTAGGAATGCTCTACACTGGGACAATTCACACACACACAGACACACAGAGAAATACCTTAAACCAGGAGCCTGTGTTAATCCCCGTGTTAATAATAGGTGTCCTCATTTTAACTTTTGCTGTGGAGACATATTGAAGCAGGAAACTTTTCAGCAACGTGTTTATTTTGAGCGTCACTCCAAAGCAACCTAAGCTGCTTTTACCTACTTCCCTCCACAAGGATGCTTTTCAAGGATCCAGAATTAATCCGTTTTGAGGGCCTGTTGGGGAAATGTATTTTTACAGATCTTCACCCTCTCCCCTCCTTTTTTTTTTCTTTTTTTTTTTCTGGGTCCTGTTTATTTGAAATCCATAGATTTAGCACTTCCCAGTTCCATGTGCTGGACCTTCCCCCATTCTAACCTCCGGTTACGACTGGCCTTCTGACCTTTTTTTCTTTGTCTGTCATGCAGTACGACGATTTACCCCATTACGGTGGGATGGATGGAGTAGGGATCCCCACCACCATGTATGGGGATCCTCACGCCGCCAGATCCATGCAGCCTGTTCACCATCTGAATCACGGTCCTCCGCTGCATTCTCATCAATACCCGCACACTGCTCACACCAACGCCATGCCTCCCAGTATGGGCTCCTCTGTCAATGACGCTTTAAAGAGAGATAAAGATGCCATTTATGGGTAGGTAAAGCTGGCATCGGGTTTGTTAGTTAAGAGATGATTATGCCCTTATTTCCCTCGCTGACGAAGGCAGAAGTAAAAGCCATTGACTCAGATCGTAGGTAAATTCTTGTGAGCCAGGCTTCCATTTATAATTGCATGCAAATTTTAGGGAGGATTTGAAGTTTTCTTTGCTTCACATTATGCTCGGCATATGATTCTCCAATAAAGAAGATTTACTTTCCATGGGGCTTGAAACGGATAAACGTTATCCATAGGTAGTATTCAGTTCAAATATTATAACTTGCCTAATTTGTGTGTGTGTGTGTGTGTACGGAAAGCTACTTCGTTGCATAAACCTAGACTCCTATGTGGTTTTGATCACAACTTTTAAATATAAAAGACTGCTAAACTGTGAGCTTAAGGGAAATTAGTCATTAGTGTTGTGATCAAAAGGAAAGATTTCCGTGGTGCAACCTGTTAGGAGAGGTAAATATTTTGGAAGACTTTAGAAGAAAGAATACCTTGAACGGTTTCATTCTGAATAAAACTTTTTAGCTTTGTTAATATATAGTGCTGTATTAAGTAGAAAACTTCGGGGTTGTTTCTTTGAGCTGTGCTCTGTTTTCTAGCAGCATTTGAGGCATCTCAATGCGGTCACTTATAAAATAGTTTCTAGGCCATTGCATTTGGAACTGATGTGTTTCGTTGCTCCGTGGATAGCTTTAAAAACAGTTCGCGCATATTAAGTTGAAGTGAACTTTAAGATCCTTTCCCCCCATCTCGCTGAGAACAGCTAGC